CATCCAATCGATCGGCTTCAGTTAGCAGCAATAGTGAAGGAATCGCTCCATCGGGTTCAGTTAACAGCCATCGGTCGATCGCTCGGGTTCAGTAACGCGTAGCCTGTAGTGCAATCGCTCGGGTTCAGTTAGAGCCCAACGCCTCGCTCAGCTTCAGTTAGAGCCAACGCCTCGCACACACACACGCATACATATGAGAGAAAAGCGCATCGCTCGGCCCCCGACCTCCCACCGTAACCGGCAACTCCCCAAAATTTTCCTGCCCCTCGCTTCTACCATGGTTTTTTCCGTCATGGACGGCCCAAAGAATGTCATGCAGCTGTGTCTCCGGCCCGCCCAGGACGAAAAGCCCATTTTTTTTCATGATTTTTTGTCATAGAAGTAGGAGCCCACCACATCTATGATGATACCGGGTTTTGTCATAATTATCGTCATAGAAGTGTCATATGTATGACAGAAAAAAATTTCCTTCGGCCCAAAATGTCACGGATGTGTCTTTTTTTTGTAGTGTTTGGCACGTGTACTGGTTGTCCACTTGGTGGAGGGAGGATCGTCTACCACGGGTGAACAAACAAATTGCAACTTGACGTGTTATGTTAAATTAAAAAAAGAGGCAAACCATGTGGGGCCTACCTTAGAGGCAAGGCTCTATACACTGGAGTACTTTTGACGTGTCCCGTCAACTCGCAGAACGAGGAGAAACTTGCTTAGTAAGCCATCTCCCCCGCCCACGGGCGCGGTGGCTCGCAGGATGAGGTGAAGCTTACTACTACTGTATGCCTTTACGCCCGCTCCCTCTCCCACGTGTGCGGTGGCTCGCAGCACGAGGAGAAAATTTTACTACTCCCTCCATTTACTCCTCGTCCCTACTACGTACTTTGGTTAGTACTCCCTCTATTTACTTATACAAGGCCACTATAAAAAATACATTTTGCATCTATACAAGGCCATAAATCTTTACCTAATAATAAAGCAAATTGGGTTTCTTTCGTCCGTCATGGCATTTTTCAGAAAAGTCCCTCTATTTTAGAGAATTCAACCCGCAGTCCTCTTTTAAGTTAAAACGAAGTGTTATTTTCGTATTTTACATAAAAGTCCCTGTCTTTTTTTGAAATCAACCCGCCATCCAGATTTAAGTCACACCCGAACCGTTATTTTACATATTTTGAAAAAACCCTGATATTTTAGGTAATTCATCCGCGGATCATATTTAAGTCAAACAAATGCTTTTTAAAATCATCCATATCTTTTAAACCGTAACTCCGATTTGAACATGTTATATATGAAATTTGATTAGAAAAATGTGTAGAATATGAATATGAGATTATTTTTATTTGTTAACTATTTTTAAATATTATTTTGGAATATATTTGAGTCAAACCAAATAATTTTCTAAATTATTTGTATCTTTTAAACCGTAACTTTGATTTTAACATATTATATATGAAGTTTTATTAGAAAAATGTGTGGAATCTAAATATGATGTTAATTTTACCTGTTAAATATTTTTAAAATATTGTTATGGAAGCAAAATTATAATTTATAGTGCAAGATCCATTTTTTTCATACCGGCGGCGATCCGGATTGCAAATAAATACCCCACTATAACCATATACGGAAAAGAAAACATCGATAACTACACGTGCATACCTCTAAAAAATGTCGCGAGGGAAAACAACAGATTTCTCATCGCGAGAGTGAGAGGCGAGCAAGAGAGAGAGAGAGAGGGAGGGAGAGAGAGCGGGAGAGGGAGGAGAGAGGGAGAGAGAGACGCCTTAGAATTAACCATATTTAACACACGTTTTTTGTTGTTTTGTGTGAACACCGAGGCCATCACCGGCGAGGGTGAGAAGGAGGATAAGCGGCAACACAAATATGATGCCTCGCAAAAATAAAGGAGATGGACCTATTGTGGTCTTGAGTGATGGTTGTTGAGTTAAGAGTGTGTGTTATATTTTCTCTCCCGTTGCAACGCACGGGCTCTTTTGCTAGTAATAATAAAGCAAATTGGGTTTCTTTCGTCCGTCATGCCATTTTTCAGAAAAGTCCCTCTATTTCAGAGAATTCAACCCGTAGTCCTGTTTTAAGTTAAAACGAATCATTATTTTCGTATTATACACAAAAGTCCCTATCTTTTCTTGAAATCAACCCACCGTCCGGATTTAAGTCACACCCGAACCGCTATTTTACATTTTTTGAACCCCCGTGATGTTTTAGGTAATTCATCCGCGGATTATATTTAAGTCAAATAAATGCTTTTTAAAATCATCCATATCTTTTAAACCGTAACTCCGATTTGAACATGTTCTATATGAAATTTGATTAGAAAAATATGTAGAATATGAATATGAGATTATTTTACCTTTTAAGTATCTTTAAATATTATTTTGAAATATATTTGAGTCAAACCAAATGATTTTCTAAATTATCTGTATCTTTTAAACTGTAACTTTGATTTTAACATATTATATATGAAATTTTATTAGAAAAATGTGTGGAATCTAAATATGATGTTAATTTTACCTGTTAAATATTTTTGAAATATTGTTATGGAAGCAAACTTATAATTTATAGCGCAAGATCCATTTTTTCATACCGGCGGCGATCTGGATTGCAAATAAACACTCCATTATAACCATACATGGAAAAGAAAACATCGATAACTACACGTGCATACCTCTGAAAAATGTCGCAAAGGAAAACAACAGATTTCTCATCGCGAGAGTGAGAGAAAGCGAGAGAGAGAGAGAGAGAGGGAGAAAGAGAGAGGGAGAGGGAGGAGAGAGGGAGAGAGAGACGCCTTAGGATTAACCATATTCAACACACGTTTTTTGTTGTTTTGTGTGAACACCGAGGCCATCATCGGTGAGAGTGAGAAGGAGGATAAGCAGCAACACAAATATGATGCCTCGCAAAAATAAAGAAGATGGACCTATTGTGGTCTTGAGTGATGGTTGTTGTGTTAAGAGTGTGTGTTATGTTTTCTCTCCCGTTGCAACACATGGGCTCTTTTGCTATAATAATAAACCACAGATCGCTTCTGGTCGTACATCGCGGCAGTTTTGCAGAAACGTCCCTATGTTGTTTAGTATTCAACCCGCAGTCCTTTATCAAGTGGGAAAACGTATTGATTAGAAAATTTTCAAATAAACCCTTGCAGTTTACGATATTAAACCCGCAGTCCTTTTTAAAGTGAGAAAAAACAGAAACGGACGGTCTCTCCTCTCTCCCTCGCCTCTGGCAGGAGGCGCCCCACCCGAGCGGCGGTCGATCCGGTGTCGTGCCGGCCGCGGGCTGCCGGCCGGTGTCGCGAGTGCATCCGCGCTTTCGGGGTCTTACCCTATGCCTTTCTGCACAGGGACGCGACCGGAGGAGCTCGCGGCCAGGTTGGCGGTCGAGGGCCCCGGCGGCATCGGCGACGCGGGGAGGGCGAGCACGAGCTCATCCCTCTCTCCCTCGCCTCCGGATCCCAGCCGTCGGGTGGATGCGCGATCTGTTGTCGTGCTGGCCGGATCCGGTGCTGCGTCGGCGATGACTTCGATTACCCCCTCCCCGAACCCTCCGCCCGTTTGCCCCACCTCTGCTTCCCGCACCTCCCCGCACCCCGCTTCCCCACAGCCAGCACCGCCCCTCCTCCTCCTGTCGGAGGACCCATCTGCGCCCTCCGCCTCCGGCACCTCGGTCGTCTCCGTCGAGCCACTGGATGTGCGGGCCCACCACGGGAGGCTGAAGAAGCTGAGCAAGCTCGCGCTGTGCCGGGCGCAGGACGGGCGGGAGCACATCTCGGAAATAGCAGACCGCCTCCTGGCGCTGCCCCCCAGCGCCCGTGGCGGAGGTGCTCGACGACGCGTGGGTGTCCCCCGATGAGCTCGCCTACGTCGTGCGTGTCGTGGACACGGCCTCCTCGCCGCGCGCGCTCGACGCCTTCGAGTGACTTGTTGCGAGAAGCAACGGCCCCGGGCCCCCACGTCTTTGCGTCATGCTAGGGGTCCTCGGCCGCGCTCGCCAGGACAGGCTCGCGGAGGAGGTCTTCCTCCAGTTCGCTGGGGAAGGTACCACCGTGCAGGTGTTTAACGCCATGATGGGCGTGTACGCCCGCTCCGGCCGCTTCGACGATGTTCCGCAGCTGCTTGATGCAATGCACGCCAGGGGGATCGAGGCCGACATGCCTGGCTTCAACGCTCTGATCAATAACAACGCAAAAGTTTGGGTGTTTACCCCCCGGCGTGAAGTCCGGCAAGCTTGGCTTAGGCCGGACGTTATCACCTACAACACCCTGATCAATGCTTGCTCGCAAGGTTTCATTCTGGACGATGCAGTGGCGGTAGGGTTTTCTGAGAGATGATTGATTCAGAGTGTCGGCCAGACTTGTGGACGTGCAATGCCATGGTGTCAGTTCATGGCCGGTGTGGGATAGCACTGGAGGCTGAGCAGATGTTCATGGAGCTGCTACACAAGGGTTTTAAGCCGGATACAGTTACCTATAATTCTCATGCTTTTGCGAAGGAAGGAGATGTCGACGCAGTGGAGCGGGTGTGTGAGGAATATGTCAAGGCTGGGTTCAGGAATGATGGAATTACTTACAATACCATGATCCATATGTATGGGAAGATGGGCAGGCTTGACTTGGCACTTGGTCTGTATGATGAGATGAGAGCCATAGGCCGCACTCCAGATGCTGTGACTTACACTGTCTTGATTGATTCTCAGGGGAAGGTGTATATGATTTCTGATGCAGGGAAGGTGCTGGAGGAGATGGTGGGTGCAGGATTAAAGCCAACCCTGGTAACCTTTAGTGCTTTGATATGTGCATATGCCAAAGGTGGGAGGCGGGACGAGCGGTGGAGCAGACATTTGATTGTATGGTTGTGTCAGGTGTCAAACCTGATCGCTTAGCCTATTTGGTTGTGCTAGAAATTACTGCAAGGTTTGCTGAGACAAAAACTGATGGCTCTATATTGGACGATGATGAAGGATGGTTATGTGCCAGATGACACCTTGTATCAGGTTATGCTTGCTGCACTTGCAAAAGGAAATGAACATGAGGAGATTGAAGGAGTTGAGCAAGACATGGTAGTTGTTTGTCAAATGGATCGGCAACTGGTATAGTGTACTCGTCAAGGCGGGTTGCATTTTTCATGGTGCTATGCTGTTAAAGCAGCATGCCTACAAGGACACGAGCCTGATAGTAAGAGTTTACTGTCCATTTTGGATGCTTATGAAACAATGGGATATCTGAATGTTCCATCATGTCTCCATGCCTACAAGGCCTCTCATTGCTTCATGCATGCCTTCTTCATGCTTTCCCATAACTTGATATCTGAATGTTCCATCATGCTTCCATGCAATCAAGGGAACACATGTGAACAACCTAAAAAGAAATCTGGAGGCAAGAATAGTTGTAAGTTCTCCCACAGCTGCTCTTCTATTTTTTTACTTGATTTGCTTGTTCTCTGTCTGCAATTTGAATGTGCTAGACGATTGATGTAATGCAGTTATTAGAGCAAGCCTGTTATAGTTTGGCACTGTTGATTGTCTCCATTATCCGCTGAATTAATAGAAGTACACAATTGACAATGTTGTAATGACAATTTGCAACATTGTGGATATTAAATTTGTTCCATTTTTATGCACTTCTTTTGCATGATATAGTTATCTCTTTCCTAGACTGATATGTAAGCATTAGAATTTGGAATGATATGTGTCATTCTGCAGGTTATCAGGTAGAGATGTTCACTAAAATCTTTTATTGGCTTTTTTTATTGTTGTTGCATGTCTCTATCTGAATAAGGTTGCCAGATTCTGTGTAATCTTTCTCTCTAGTTTTACTTCGTGATTCTGTAGATGTATATTAGAATGCTAGCTGAGAACATGTCTGATCTTCACAAGCAAGACAAGTCAGAAGATGATAGCCAGTGTTTTTTCCCTTTGCTTTCCTACATATCATCCAATTAATGAATTGTTTGGTTGGTCTTCATTTTACTTGCAAGCTAATTAAGACCAGAATACTGATTGTAAATAGAGTAGATTATTTTAATGAATTATTTTGCTGTAGATATCCGTACTGGTATCCTTTGCTATGTTCGTATAGGCAGAACCAAAGAAACAAACTTAACAGCCTCTAATTAATGTAACATTAATACCAACGTTTATAAAATTTGAGTATAAGAAATTGTTCGTAAGGACACATGGGGCAGATTTTTGCAAGATTTTACCGTTCTACGCCCGATGCAACGCACGGGCATTTGTACTAGTAGTAATCAAGACAAAAGTTACTACTCCCTCCTTTCCAGTTTATGGCTCAATTTCAAAATCTCTCCAACCAAGGTAGACGGTGAGTGGTCAAATTAATTTCGTAGTTTGCACAGTACGCTTGTTTTTCTCAAGAAGTTATGTTTACCGAGGCATTAATTAGAACGAATGCATGAATGACTACTAAATTCCCATGAACTTGTACATGCATTGGTTAGTTTCCTCTTGACACTGCTTGCGTCAGGTGATCTAACGCACCTCGAAATCCAACATGTAATGGTACTACTACTAGTATAGTAGAATTGAGACTTATCAAACGAAAAAACGAGTATTTTTTAGATGACCCCTATAAACCCTAGTGGGTACGTACTCCGTAAAAACAATTTTTTCCAAAACTAAGTCGCTCCCTTTCATGAATTATGTAGTATACTCCTCCATCGATGCTCCCTTTCATGAATTATGTACTTCCTGTCGCCGACATGTGGGACATATAGCAATCGGGTCGACGTGTCAAGCACCAAATAACAGTGCAGAACAGCAGGGGGGACGCACCCCACTCGTACCGGCCCGGTAGTAGTAATGAGCAATGAGACGTCAAATCACAATGCCGCACCTTCCCAGATGGACGAAGCAACCATTATTTCACACTTTGGTTCGACATCATCTCAAACCACGTATTAGTATTGCTTTTGCCTCAAGAGGGACACGCGCATCGCCTTGGTACATCATGACACGTGGGACCGCATGACAGGCCATGCTCCCCCGCCGATCGCTCGGTAAAATCACCTCATTTTTACTATACTTCCTCTGTATCGGTTTACAACATGGCATGCACGTCGTTCTAGGTTGAGAATTTAACTGGCTATATATATATGTGATGAACAATACGCTAGCCTTTTAAAAAATGTATACTTTTGTACAGTAGTACTCCACTATCGGATTTCGGGTTCCGGCAGACCCTCAAGGTTCGAACTCTGGGGTGCATGCGGAGATCACGCCCCCTACCTACCCATGTCTCGTCACCTCGCAAGGATCTAAACTACACGAAGAACAACATAGAGGACACGAGATTTATATTGGTTCAGTCCATCATTATGGTGTAATACCCTACTCCAGTGTGTGGTGTGGTGGATTGCCTCTGGGGCTGATGAAGAACAGTACAAGGGAGAACAGCCTCGCGAGGGGCTGTTCTTAGCTTGTGCGATGAACTGCTAGGGGAGTTCAATCGCCTCTCTCTCTCTCTGTATCAAATGCCTCTAGGTCGGGTCCAGATCAGATGCCTCTACCCTGGGGGTGGCTAGTCCTATTTATAGGCGGAGGCCCTGGGCCTCTTCCCAAGTATTGAGCGGGAAGGGCGCCAACAATTGGCCATTTTGAAAGGGAACGTCTAGTACACTTATCCTGACTAAAGTTGGTCCTCGCTTGCCAAAGTCCCCGATGATGACGCCGGCTTGGGCTCCACGATGACCTCCATCCCGCCGTCCTGCTGGTCTTGGTATTGTTGCACCGAAATGGTTACCTTTGCTTGATACTCTCGCCTGCGCTTGCCCCCTTTGCACCAAAGAGGAAACAAGGACTCTGCACAGGCCGGCGCCCGCCTGGCCTTGGTCGTCATGGCTTGCATCATGAGCACCTCGCGAGGTACTCCGCCTTGATCTCTCTGCCTCCTCGCGAGCCAGCCTGACGAGGCCGTGCCCGAGGAAGCCTCCTGTCATCCGCCCCGCGAGGCTTGGCCCCTCGCGAGGGTCTTGAGCATGTGTTGATGAAGATGGGCCGTACTGGGCCACTCCTAAAGCCACGCCGCAGGCCGCAGGCAGGCAAGTCTGGGTACTCCCGTTCCCAGAACGCCGACAGTAGCCCCCGGGCCCAAGGTGCGCCTGGACTTGGCTTAGCAGAGAAGCGAAGGGGCAAGTGCGAAGCGCCGCGGGCCCCAATAGCCTGCGGCCATGGGCGCCGCGTGGCGGTTGATTCGACATGGGCGTCCTGGCTCCCCCATGATGCCTCGGCAACTGCACGAATTGACAAGTCCCTGCATGCAAAACGAGTCATGATTACCTGCGATCGTGGAGGCCGGCGGTTGGCCTCCCTCGGCTATATGTACGGAACGGCGCGAGCCCTTCCAGTCCATCTCCTCCTGTTACTCTCCGTCTTCTTCTTTGTCCTTGCCCCTTCCCGTGCCAATGGCACCGATCCGTCGATTTTCTGTCGAAGAGAAGGGGAAGGCCCCCCGGGAGGGTCCCGTCCCGCTTCCCCCGAAGAAACGGCTCGTCTCTTGCCACGGGGAAGGGGGTGCTTGGTAGGAGGTGTCGAGGCCGTGGTTCGAGAGGCCACCGACGGGATTCCCATTGCTCCTGTACGCCCAGATCGAGGGTCCTGAAGGCGCAGGCGCCGAGCGGCACAGCCAGAGGCCCGTCGCCGTCAGCGGATCACGGCGGTGCGCGTCGTTCCTCCTGAGGTTCACGCCGGGGCTCTTCTCGCGAGCTCATGCTTCACGCCGCCATGCCTCCTCGGTCTTGGATTCACCTCCCTCCTTCCTTCGCCTTTGAGATCCCGCTAAGGGGGCCTATCGAGCTTTGGCTGCAGCATGCTGACTGCAGTACCCCTGCGACCGAAGCGGAGGTCGAGGTCGTCGCTCCGGGCAGGGTCTAGACCCGTGGCTGGGGCGAGATCGCCCGGGTCGGCAGGACTGGTGGCGCCCTCGTAATACACCTCAAGTACGACGGCGCCTCCCTGATGTTCTTCAAGGTCTTCGACGCGGAGGGATTCCGGCTTGAGTGCTGCCCTGAGAGAGGCGGCCGGGGCCCTACCGTGGCAAGGACTAGGCTCACCGATCGCTTCCCCAGCAGCTCCTCAGGTAGCGGAGGCGTCGGAGGATCCAGCGACTCTGCCGAGCTCTTTGCGACTCCGGAGACGAGCGATGAAAGCTACAAGCCCCCGAGCTTGCGTCGCTCTCGGGGCAAGCCGGGCTCGTTAGGCCGCCGTCGCCACTGATTTGTATGGGGTTGGCGCCGGTGGCTGACGGCCCGCTGTTGGTGACGGCGTCTCTTGTGGAGGCGCGCGTAGTTTGCACTTCTTTAGGATTTGCTCTTTTTGTTCCCTGCGAGGAATCGAAGAACACACCCGATGGGGGTTTGTAAGGTGCTTGTAGTTCCATTTGTTAATATGATCCTTATCGTGAAGCGGTCAGGGATGCTCGTTCCGTCTTAGCTTAGTTCCTCCTTTCGAACCTCGCGAGGACTTGACACTCTACGCTGACAGGTCCCGGTCCCAAGGCGGCTTCAGCCATCGCTGGTATGCCAGGCCGCGATGCCGTGGTCAAGGACAGGAGGTGAGCGGCCCGGGGTCCAGTAAGAGCCCCTGAGTCGCGATGCTCAGGAGGTCCCCTTTAGCGCTCAAGCAGACACCGTTCGGTGAGAAAGGAGCGAGACGTTGCCAAAACGGGATTGCATTAAGTGCGAGGTCGGTGCTGCGATA